ATAAAGCTGCTCCACATAATTAGTTATATACAAAACGTTTAAAGTAAAAAAAAATTAGGTATTTAAATAAAATAACCTCTTTCACGCTATAAAAATTAATATATTCAGAACTGGTTTCGGGTAATAAGCCATCATCAGCTGAATCTACAAAAATATTAAATTAAATGACAAGAAAAAGTAAGTAAAACTAAAATGAAAATATTTAAATATAAATGTAAAATATAGAAAATTTTGGACTTACATGATGAAATAACAAGAAAATTACACCACAAAGACGAATGAACTGACAGTCAAAAAACTAATATATGTAACAGGACGGGAATAAAAGAAATGGAGCGAGATCAACGAAGAAAGGTGAAAAGCGGTTTGCGCTTGAGTTCAATTTGTTCATTTATAATATTTATTTTTGGGTTTTTATTGTTTTCAAAAATTTCGTGATATTCAAGTAGATCCATTTTATGACCCTTAATGCATCAATGTAAAAGTTTACCTCCCTTAAAATTAATTTTATAGTAGTAGTTTCCGGTTCTGAATATATTAATTTTTATAGCACGAAAGAAGTTATTTAAATACCTAAATTTTATATACATTTATGACTCGCAACATGGATTACCAAAGATATTTTAAAATAAAATTTAATGTAATTACAAATATCACGTGAACCATAAAACTAATAAGTTATTATTTTAAATTAACATTATTAAATTATTCTATTTATTGAATTACATACAAACGTGTTATGCGCAGTCTTTACAGCCTCGTGAACCGCAAACTTAATAGTGCGTGGGCTACTCGAAAAAAGATCGCATCTCACCCGATCCGCGGTTCTTTCCATCCTCAGAATAGGTGAGTTACGATATGCGTTTGTTCGAGGAGTGGGCATATAAAAAAGGAAGTTGTACCGTAATTGACGAGGAGAAATAAGATGAGGCTTGTATAGAAATAAAACATCTTTATATGCTCGTCACTGGGAGAGCGTTAGCAAACATTTCATAACTTGTTGGGTTTTATAACATAAGTATTTAATCAGTCATTTCTGGATTCTTGTGATATATACGGAGTATTGATTCCAGATTACGCTACCAAAGTTTAAGATGCTGTTGACATATGCATTGTACATACTTATAATAGCGTTGAGGAATGAAGCCCAGCATTCTGTACGATCTAGCAACCACACCATCTACATGAACATCGAAAAGTAGTTTTTGATCTAATTTTACACCAAGATCAACTGTAGATGTAACTCGGCGCAACTTTTCAAAGTTAAGACTGTAATCATATTTTATGTAATCCTTTTTCCTGGTGAACGTGATGGTGTGGCACTTAGAAAAGTGTAATTGATTACTAGTACAGAAATTGCAAATCGTTTCAAGATTTGCCTGTAATTTAACCAAATCGTCAATGTTTCGAATAGAAAGGGAAATTTTTAAATCGTCAGCGTACGTCAGGCAACGCGAATTAACAATATTATAAAAAATGTCGTTTATGTAAATTAAAAACAGTAAAAGACCGAGATGACTGCCTTGTGGTACTCCGGATGTAGTATAAATTACGCGTGACTTATAGCCACCAATATAGAAACAAGCCAACGCAACAAGTTGCCAGAAATACTAAAAAGTTGCAATTTACTTAGCAAGAGAGTGATCAACTTTGTCGAACGTCTTACTAAAATCGGTCGATTTGAACATTTTCGTCGAGCGACGCAAATAGAAAATCGATATATTCTAAAAGATTAGTTTCCACTGAACACCAACTTTTCAAAGACCTTTCCAAGTATGGGTAACATAGTTATTGGACGATAATTGACAACGAAGTGTCGATCACCTAATTTAAAAATGTGTGCAACGTTGGCTCGCTTCCACGCATCCAGATACACTTCCAGTTTAATGGATACGTATATAATATACAGATGTCCCACGACGTGACTGCCATAGCTTGGGAGTGTGTTGCTGGGTGATTTCCAGTCAAAAATGTTTAATGAACATACCAAGGACAGTAGAATCTAACAGGACTGCTACATCCATTGTATTTTTGTAGTCCACTACGGGTTGGTTGCCCGCACTCTACGTCACACTATTTGCCACGCCTGGTAACTCTCTGTGTTTTTAGAGGTTATATGATAGACATTAATACGTCTAAAAACATAAAACTTCAAAAATATAATGGATACGTCTAGGATATAACCTCTAATAATACACAGCAAACATAGACCATAACAACAGCTGGGCGTGAAAAATGGTATGACGTAGTTTGCGGGCAGGTTGTCACAACAATGGATGTAGCAGTCCTGTTAGATTCTACTGTCCTTGGAACATACACCTAAAACGCTATCATAACCCAAGGACAGTAGAATCTAACAGGACTGCTACATCCATTGTATTTTTGTAGTCCACTCCGGGTTGGTTGCCCGCACTCTACGTCACACTATTTGCCACGCCTGGTAACTGTCTGTGTTTTTAGAGGTTATGTGATAGACATTAATACGTATAAAAACATAAAACTTCAAAAATAATATGAATACGTCTACGATATAACCTCTAAAAATAAACAGCAAACGCATAGACCATAACAACAGCTGGGCGTGGAAAATGGTGTGACGTAGTTTGCGGGCAGGTTGTCACAACAATGGATGTAGCAGTCCTGTTAGATTCTACTGTCCTTGATCATAACCGAGCTATTGATTTAACCGCTGTTGATTTTGTTATTATTAAAAAGTCCAGGTGGCTGTAAATGATAATTTGTTATTTATTGTGACAGTAAACGCCAATTTATTTTCGTGTTACATTAAAGTACTCTTAAAGATATGTTTACTTTTTCGAATGAAGAATACGCCGACATTCACTTTGTTGAACTGTGTTCTGTTGTTAGAACTGTTTTTAGCAATGTCCGTCGATGTTTAAGGGAAACAGGCAAGTTTGCTACAGCTATTTCTGAATGTCCCGTTCAACAGGAACTTGCTCAAGAAGAAGCAATACTTAATACGATTGATGCTCAAGGTTCTACCAGTGTCCGAAGAATAGCCAACACACTTAACGTAGGCCGGATGAGAGTGTGGAGAACTTTACACAATTTCGGTTTGTACCCGTACCACATCTTACAAGCTTTAAAACCTGTCGACTACGCTTCAAGATTTGAATGGGGCAATTGAAAATCCACGACAAACTCGGGAATACCATTTTCAAGATAGATTTTTGGTGAATGTTTGGTGTGGCATTATTGATGACCGCCTCGTTGGTCCGTTTATAATTGAAGAACGTCTCACGGCCATTCGTTATTTGCGTTTCATTGAAAATGATCTTCCAATATTACTGGATGATGTTCCTCTCAATGTAAGACAACGAATGCCGATTCAGCAAGATGGCGCATCTCCACACTTTGGTCGACAAGCAACAGAATTTCTTAATCAAAATTATACAAACCGGTGGATTGGAAGAGGTTCAGCAGTTCCTTGGCCAGCAAGGTCACCAGACTTTAATCCCTTAGATTACTTTTTATGGGGAAGACTGAAAAGTTTAGTTTGTGCAGAAAATATTGAAAACGGAGAACAACTAGTAGCTAGAATTATGGATGCCGCAGAAACTATTCGTGCTGATCCTGAGGCTGTTAGCAGAGCTACCACTACAATTCTAAGAAGAGCTAGACTATGTATATAGCAACTGGGTGGACATTTTGAGCAACTGATTCAATAAAGCTGTTTCTTTTTAAATGGTCTACTACTACTTATTTAAAATTTCAAATGCTTGTAGCTCGGATATGATAGCGTTTTGAGTGTATGTTCATTAGACATGAGCACAGTTTCTGACCAGTATAGCAATGCCCCCTCCACTTCAACGAGACTAAAGTCATGAATGAATACGCGCGAGGAATCAACCGTTTCCACCGCATCATAATAGGTAGCAGACGGTGCTATGAAAACTTCACTAAAATAATTCGCAAATAACGAACAGTCCGATGTTTCAACCCCATCTAGAATTACAGTTAATGGGATACCCGTACCGCCTCTTCTGCGTTTGAGATATGTCCATAACTATTTTGCGTCCAATGCACACGTTTAATATACGCCTTATAATCCTGATCAATCAGGTATTTAGAGCTTCCTCGCAGAAGACGAAACGTTAAATAGTCCAAAAGATTTCCACAACGCTCCACTTCTTATTGCTTCATGTTGTGCTCTTAGAGAACCAAATTGTGTAACCGTTCTCAGGTTGGCTTTTATGTGACACAAATTTTTTAATGGCTAAAGACAAATGATTATAGAAAAGTGTTGACATTTACATCTGATATCATTAAAAGCAGCTTTTTAAAAGTTATAAGTAGTAGGAAGTCGTTCAGTGAGGTTGCTTACAGGTGCAATATTGCACGCTAACTCAAGTGATGAATGAGGAACATCTTCTGGAAGAATCACAGTTGAATTCTAGATGAAGTTACAAATCGCTCCAAGACCAAATTTAACGTGTTGCCAAATATGTTTCTAAAAGAGTTATGTTGGTTAAATTCACAAAGTGAAAGGACGTCTAAGAAATCAACTGAATGTGGGCCAACAGGAGAGGCAGTATACATTCCAGAACCATCGACACTCCAAACTATCCTGGGCAAGTTGAAATCGCCAGAAATCAAGAATGTGCCTCAATTCATTACAAAATACAACAAATATGCTGTTTGCTATAACGCTTATCGCAATAAAGTGTTACACAAATGGCTTTATTGGCTGGAAACCAGTCTGGCGTCTGAACACTGCGAAGACTCGCACTAACACCCATCAGCACCATCTCTTTTGTAGATGTTGTAGGAAGAACCTCAGTCGAATCGTACCAGGGTGGAGCCATGTTTCCGTTAGGCATACATATTTTTATTGAACTAATATTAGACGTAAAAGTACTTTCTGGTTTAGTCGCGCGTCTTTAATGGTTATAATAGACACTCCTTTCCCCGTATTAGTCCGTTATATCGAGGTTTTACTGTAATTTGAGAAGTTATGTTATTTAATTTGATTAATTTAGGTTTTACATTGCTGAATTAACCTGCGCGGTAGAAAGCGTACATAAAATGGGATTTATCCATAGAGATATTAAACCAGATAATATCTTAATCGATAAAGAAGGACATATTAAATTGACCGATTTTGGGTTATGCACCGGGTTTAGATGGACGCATAATTCGAAATATTATCAACCCAATGGTAAATTATTAATTTTAATGTTACAAGATGATTTAAAAATGACTTATTTATTTAGGTGATCACAGCAGACAGGATTCAATGGAACCAATTGATGATTGGGATGAGGAGTGTTGGTGTAAACCGTTGGAACGAAGGCGCCGTATGGAACATCAAAGGTGCTTGGCGCATTCTTTAGTTGGTACGCCGAATTATATAGCACCGGAAGTCCTGGAACGAACGGGGTATACGCAATTATGTGATTGGTGGAGTGTTGGTGTTATTCTTTATGAAATGTTGGTTGGAAGTCCTCCATTTTTAGCTAATTCGCCAGCGGAAACACAACACAAAGTATATTAATTAATAAAATTAAAAAAATTTAAATTAAACCAAATTTTTTAAGGTTATTCATTGGGAAACAACACTTCGCATCCCTCAAGAAGCAAATCTAAGTAAAGAAAGTACCGATTTAATATTAAAATTATGTACAAGTGCCGATCGCCGACTCGGTCAAAAAGCATCAGAAGTAAAATCGCACGTTTTCTTTAAAGAGATTGATTTCGAGAAAGGTTTACGCCGACAACCTGCCCCCTACAAACCCAAGATTGAATCGCCAACGGATACGTCGAATTTCGACGAAATCAGCCCCGAACAACTCCGAAATTTTGGCTCGTTAGATTCTGATGAACAACTTGATAAGCAACACCCAGGTTTTTACGAATTTACGTTTCGAAGGTTTTTTGATGATGTTGTTGGATCGGATTTTAATCGCATTAATTTGGACGATAACGAAAATCAGGGTGCTATTTATGTATGAAAAAAAAGGGGGGAAAAATCTTTTTTTCTTTTTGTTTTTTATTTTTGTTTAAAATTTTCGGGCTGGAACCCGATTATAAAATTATAACCCCGTCCAAAAATGTGCTCTCTCTGTATTTATCTCTCTCACTCTATAATACATAAAAAAATGTTTGTGGAGGAAATGATTTTATAAAAATGAAAAGAAGAAAAGATGGGAAAATCAGGTTAGAAAATGATAGGAAAGGTTTTTTTTGGATTGCATCTGTGATATTGTTAATATCATTTAATTTTTTTGGATTAAAAGGTAAGGTGATGATGGAGGATTTATTACAAAATATATGGATTGATTTTTTTTTGTTTGAGGAAAATTTAAGTGCTCAATTTTAACTCTAATAATTTAAATAGAATGAGGAAAAAGCGCGAGAAATGAAAATAAAATAAATAAACTAACATAAATGTAGATTTTAAACAAACGTGTAAAGTACAAGTTTTTTCTTTTTTTGTAGTATATTTGTGTACTAAAAAATTAAACTGGAGTTATCTTTAATAAAAGAGTTGATCGAATAACGTTGTACAGAAACTATAAATATTTTTTAAAAAACAATAAATTATTATGAGAAAAAGAAAATGATGTGAACATTATGGTGCTATGTTATCATAGATTTTTAAAATGATTTTAAGAAAAAATACACTATTTATGTATACACATTGTGATTTTATTTATTTATGAATACTTAAATCATTTTGTGTATGTATGTGATAAAAAAATATTGGACAAATTAACACGATTAATAAATTATTAACAGCAAAGAAAAAAAAGTTATTTTCTTTTTGAAAAAAATAAAGTGTAAATACCATGTAAAAATACTCTGATTAGGATACTAATTTTTTTGGTTGTAAATAAACATAAAATGGTATCCGTTCGATTTTTTTTCTAGATTGTAACGAATATTTAATGTAATTTAGAGATCTAATTTGCTAATTTTTATTTGTTGCACAAAATCGATAAAAATACAAAAATAAAAAAGTATAAGTAATAAATATTAAAAAAATGAAAACATAAAACTATTTGCGAACACTGCCTTAACATTTTGACAATAATCTATCTCCTAAAAAAATATTAAAAAACTTATTTTAGTTCTTTATTTTTTTAAAGAGAAATTTGTATAGCTTTTAAATTCCTTTAAAAGTTAATAAACAAGTCTTTTCCCCCCAATTCAATCCCACAAACTATTTTTTCTAATCTTAATATTTGTAATAACGCATAATTTTAGCCTAAGTTATGTACTAGTTCGTCAATTTCTAGTCTATTTTTTTTTTGTTTTTTTTTAAGAAAACCGATTCGAGAACCGCAGTTCTTTTTCAAAATAAACGGGAAATTTATTATTTTTTATTATTATTATTATTCTATTTCGGTTGTTCCTGTCGTGTTTCGCTTTTCAAATGAAAAAAAAACTACTAAGTAAAGAATAAAATAAAAATAAAGAAACGAAAAAAACGGTTCAAAACGTTCGAGTGTACCGAACAAAAACGAAAAATTGTTTCAGTGCCTTTAATCGTAGAGAGCTGTTCATTGTAAATGTGTGTACAGAAAAATAATTATTTACTTTTCAAAAAATAAAGGGTTTTTATTTAATTTTTTTCCTAGTTTCTGAAATCGGGGAAGTCCCATCCTCATTCCATATTATACCGGAAATTTCATATAACTCGCAATATATGAATCCAGTAATCATAGTTGCGAAACTGCTATGCACTTGCACTGTCCCACATAAAATGCAACATAGCTTATAACACAGCAATTTGTAAAATGATAAGTATATTGCAAAAAAACAAACAATTACACATATACAGGATGTTTAGAAATTGGTGGATAATGTACAAGTAGCGACATTCTTCGATCGACTCTGAATCAAAAATCTGAATATTAAAATGTTCTACTATGTTGCCAAACGTGTTTTCGAAAACTGTTATTAAAAGTTGACTTTTGCATAGTACTTAACGACCGTCAAAACGATAGTTTTTTACGATTTTACAGCGTTAACCAAAAACAAGTTCCAACTGTGACAACCACAAGGAGTAAAGAATGTTCTTGAGTTAATATTCGGGATTCTTGTTTTAACCCCTTTACTTACACCGATCATGTTCGCTCCATTATTGTATCCGTTACACATCGACAGTTTTGGATATCTAAGTTGTGTTCTTCTAATTTTTTTTTAATATAGAATCTTAAATACTCCCCCGTTGTTTTAACGACAGCCATAAATCCAATGAAGTTTTTTTCAATGTGACCAGTAGAAATATTGCAGTATCGCAGTATGATACTCATTTGTTCAGTACGTCTTACATCTCTGGTGCAACCAAGCATGATGGCATAATATTATGCTTGTTTTATTCTGTGCATAATTTCTCCAATAACTGAATCAGACGTTAATACAATTAATTTATTTTGGATATCATGACTCAAATGATGTGAACAAGTTATACCAATGTTTTAGGGACTCTCTAATCAATTTTTCATTTTCCATATCTATCGTTAGTCCATGTTTAATTCCTTTGTATAGTTCCACCCATTTAAACATGAACTCAATGTATCCTTGAGTCTGGTCGTGACTTTGCAATATTCTTCATAAATCTTTCCAGTCACAACATACTTCTTTTATTATTTGTACCTTTATACCTAGAACTAGAATCATTTGGTTTTAGCTGCAAGTCTCTAAAGACGGCTAAACCCGAATGATTCTAGTTCTAGGTATAGTGTTAGTTCTACATCATTTGGGTTTAGCTGCACGTGTCTAAAGACGGCTAAACCCGAATGATTCTAGTTCTAGGTATAGTGTTAGTTCTAGTTTTACACTTGCACTGTCACTAGAACTAACATTAGACCTAGAACTAGAAACATTAGGGTCTCATAAGACGGCTAAAGCCGAATGATTCTAGTTCTAGGTCTTGCGTTAATTCTGGTAATAGTGTCAGTGTAAAACTAGAACTAACACTAGACCTAGAACTAGAAAGTATCGGGTTTAGCCGTGCGTCTTCGTCTTCAAACTTTAGAAAAAATTAATATTTTGAACTTGGGGATTACATAAACCATAAAAAAGATGAGCAAATCACACGACATTTGGAAAACTGACCTTTAACCATAACTATCATAAACTCGTTTCTAAAAAGTATATTATGGGAATTCCCTAAAAGTTTGACAATTTTCTCGTTTAAATGGAGTTCAATGCTATCTTTTGATACAAGTATTACATACTTATGCACCACGCAAAACAAATATATAACAGCTACACATTTAGCTGCATTCTAGTTTTAGGTTTAGTGTTAGTTCTAATTTTACATTAGCACTGTTAGTATGTAGAACTAACACTGTACCTAGAAGTTCCTAGAACTAGAATCATTTGGGTTTAGCCGCACGTCTGTAAAGACGGCTAAATCTGGGTATCCGGAGCATAATACAGAAAAACTTTAACTACAAAAGTTGTAGCAAATTGTACTCTTAACACAATGGTCTGTAACATTTTTGCTCCCAGATGCATCAATGTGGAGAATTTTTCAAAAATATGAAAATTAGAAGAGTGTTAAAAGAAATCGGTATCGGGAGCATAATACAGAAAAGCTTTAACTACAAAAGTTGTAGCAAACTTTACCATTAACACAATGGTTTGTAACATTTTTGCTCCCAGATGCATCAATGTAGAGAATTTTTCAAAAATATGAGAACTAGAAGAGTGTTAGAAAAAGTCGATATCCGGAGCATAATACAGAAATTCTTTAACTACAAAAGTTGTAGGAAATTGTACCCTCAACACAATAGTCTGTAACATTTTTGCTCCCAGATGCATCAATGTGGAGAATTTTTCAAAAATATGAAAATTAGAAGAGTGTTAAAAAAATTTGTATCCGGAGCATAATACAGAAAAACTTTAACTACAAAAGTTGTAGGAAATTGTACCCTCAACACAATAGTCTGTAACATTTCTGCTCCCAGATGCATCAATGTGGAGAATTTTTCAAAAATATGAAAATTAGAAGAGTGTTAAAAGAAATCGGTATCGGGAGCATAATACAGAAAAGCTTTAACTACAAAAGTTATAGCAAAATTTACCATTAACACAATGGTTTGTAACATTTTTGTTCCCAGATGCATCAATGTAGAGAATTTTTCAAAAATATGAGAACTAAAAGAGTGTTAAAAAAAGTCGGTATCCAGAGCATAACACAGAAAAACTTTAACTACAAAAGTTGTAGGAAATTGTACCATTAACACAATGGTCTGTAACATTTTTGCTCCCAGATGCATCAATGTAGAGAATTTTTCAAAAATATGAGAACTAGAAGAGTGTTAAAAAAAGTCATCGGTATCCGGAGCATAATACAGAAAAGCTTTAACTACAAAAGTTGTAGCAAACTTTACCATTAACACAATGGTTTGTAACATTTTTGCTCCCCGATGCATCAATGTGGTGAATTTTTCAAAAATATGAAAATTAGAAGAGTGTCATTATACAGAAAAACTTTAACTACAAAAGTTGTAGCAAATTGTACTCTTAACGAATGATTCTAGTTCTAGGTATAGTGTTAGTTCTAGTTTTACACTTATACTTTCACTAGAACTAACATTAGACCTAGAATTAGAAACATTCGGGTTTAACCGTACATCTCATAAAACGGCTAAAGCCGAATGATTCTAGTATTAGTTCCATAAAAATATGCAATATAGTGATATTTTATGCTAACTACCTATCACCTGCCAGCCGTCTTAAGAGAGGTACGGCTAAACAGAATGTTTCTAGTTCTAGGTCTAGTGTTAGTTCTAGTTTCATCGTTATTCAGTGTTAGACTGTTGTATATTTTTCATTAAACTAAAACTACCCGGTATAATTGAAAGTTTCTAATCTTGATATTTTTGATTTAAACTTTTATTATTTTTTTTATTTTTGATTTTTACTACATTTATATCGTCTTAAAACTATCCAATATAAAGGACTACGCTTTTTATCTATTTCTTTAAAAAGATAATGTATAAACCCAATTATAATCAATCTCCTCCTTCATCGCCAATTTTCTTATAATTCTCTTTAACCAATTTCAAATTTTCATGTTCCATCATCTGTTGTATAGACACGGGAATATCCGGGATACTATAGGCTATAATACTTGTTATGGCAAGAACAACATGCTAAAAGTTTACGTATTTTATATCATTATATGTTTCTATTAATTTTGTTACCTCAAATATAATAATAAAGGCCATAACCCATGTAATTTCGTGCCAAAAAGCGCCGCTAAGTATGTATTTATCCGGGTCATCTGGTGGATACCTCAAAGATGGGTATCTACACGTTTGAGGTTGGTTCGGAATGTTCTTGATGGAAGATGGGATTGATGATGGGTAGTCGCTCGTGTTGAATATAGAGAATCTATTTTCGTAATATGGGAGATGTGTGTCCGAGTGAGTGTAAATTGCTGTTGGAACAAATGTCATTGTCCATCCAATAACAATGGCCTTAAAATAAAATAAAAATATGTACATATTTTTATGAATTTTATTTTTTTTTAATACGTACGTTTGTAACTACTCCCAAATGAGTCATTGCCATAAAAACTTGCATCCAAGCGCCGATTCCGTTCACACAAATCGGAATTGGTCTTCTATAGTTTCTTAAAAGTTGCACTGCGTTGTTCCTAATCTCCACCAATGTATGCAAAAGGACAATTAATGGCGCTAAAGGTTGCGCAGATGAAAAGAACGTTATATATCCATATTGGATCGCTAAAAAACTTAATTTAATTCAATTTATATCCCTATTAACTATATTTACCAATTTCTTTGTATTCATTAATTAAAAAAAATCTTGACGTCTTCTTTAAGTAATATTCTTGTTCATACGGTGGTAATTCACCGTTATAATCATGAATCATTTTGTATTTTCTAACAATTACCCTGATATAGGTCACCAAAAAATTGACTAAATCTTTAAGTACACATTTTGTGAGTAAAACCACAAAAATATGAATGCAAAGGTGTTCCGCACATCCGGTGGGATCGCAACGCCCCGAAGCATGATAATCTTCACTTTCATGGCCCGGATAATATGCATAACGATGCTTAACAAACGCAATGTAAACAGCGACACCGAAGCTGTTGACGAAAGTCAAAAAATAAATTTTCAAAATATATGAGTTATCGTATTCTTGTTCGGTTCTTGGATTTTCAAATCTAACCAACCAAACCGCTATGTATTTGTAAACCTGAAAAAAGCAAATTACTTCTTTGTCCATTCCGAAAAAAACTTTGATACTTTACAAAGTCAAAAATAATCATTAGTAGAACACTAAGGAGTGACGATGTTGTTTTAGCTCCTATCACGTGATATTTATTTGAAGAATCAAATTGACTTTGGGCTAATGTTAACGAAACGACTGAGTCGTTAAATTTTATTGTTACAATAACGATTCCTAAAATTGAAATCCCCCCCTAAAAGAAACATTAATGTTAATTTTAACGATAAAATTTTTATGTTAAAACTTTAAACCATTGCTGCCAGAGCCAAAATGCTTAAAAAAGAGTGGCAAATATGAACAGCTGTATCTTCATAAGGCTCCCATTCCCCTGTAATCGGCGATAATTTCCTTAAAGTTGCTGAAGTTTCGTATTGGGGCCTAAAATTTATTTTTAATCTCGTTTAAAGTACAGTAAAACCTCGATAGACGCGCTCATAGATAGAATCTAAGTTGGGTTATTCCCCAAGTTGCTCTATTTCATGTTCATAGATAAACGCGGGGTATTCCCCGAGCTGTTTATACGGTGTATAAATCAAGGATAGTACTAATAGTTTTAATTGTTGGGCTAAACCCGAATATTTCTGGTTCTAGGTCTAGTTAAGGTAGATGAATATAAGGTATGTAAACTGCAATATCAGAGGGAAGGATGACAGACACGAAACGAGGGATAGAAACTGTTGGGAATACCAGATAGCGGCGGAGTTAGCGAAGAGAAGTATTGATTATGAGGACACGAAGAGAGGGCAGAAAGGGAGGGAGCGGATAACCGTCTATGAGGGGGAGGTGAGAGCACTTTATCGAAAAACTAGATGGGGGAGGGGAGAATCGGGAGAAGAGCGAGGGGTTGAAAAAGGTGTTCTGGAATGTAGCAGGCATTACGAATAAGGAAGGGCAGTTCTGGGAATAGTTGACGGGATTTGAGGTGATTTGTATGGTGAAGACCTGGGTTGATGAAGGAGGGTGGGCAAAGATGCCAGAAGGGTATAGATGGGATTGCGTGTTTGCAGAGAGGAGAATTAAGAGAGGAAGAGCGTGGACGTGACGGTGGGTAGATGGAGGCAGAAGGGAATGGTAAAAAGGCAGGCTAGAGGGATAGAAGATGCAGATAGTCACAGTATACTGGGGGATTTATTCCTAAGGACAAATAATGACTAATAGATGAAAAAAATTGTAGTAAAAGTTTTTCAGTTTCTTAGATATCCTATATAATTGGCGACATCTAGATAATGTGTTTCCTGGAAGATGGGTAGGTCGTGATGGTCCAATGGCCTGGCTCAATCCTCTTGATTTATACCTTTCGGGTCACTTAAAGAGCATACTGAACGCCACGGAAGGTAACCCGTCATTGGTCGCTATGTGAGATTTTTTCTTACAAAGCTACTTTGTAAGAAACAGAAAATCTTTTACTATGAGGAGTAAATACCCAAGTTTATGCGTATAAGTTGAGAATCACCCTGTATAGCAAGGTAATGAAAGAGTCATTGTCTCTTTCATTGCCATTGGCAATGGGAAGATATTACAGAGGAGGGAGGGAGGGCTGTCTGGTTGTTGGAGGGGACTATAGTGGAAGAATAGGGGAAGAGAGGGAGATGGGGGTCGAGGGAGAGGGGCGACGATCCAATGATAAGATTCTGAATGGAGAAGGAAGGGAGATGCTGAGATGGGTAGAGGACAGGGGATGGAAGATACTGAATGGGAATAGGGAGGAAGGAGATGAAGGGGAATATACCTATACGGGTGCAAGGGGTGTGTCCGTGATAGATTATGTGGTAGTGGACCAAGGAATGTGGGAAAGGATAGAAACATTTAGGGTTGGGGTGTTGGTAGAGTCGGATCACCAGCCTCTAGAAGTGTGCATAAAGGGATCGAGGGGAAGAAGGAACAGAAAGACAATGGAACATAGTGGAACATACATTAGGGTAGATTGGTCGAAAGAGGGGATAGAACATCATAGGGGAAAGTTGGCAAGCTGGGGTCAGAGGGTGGAGGGGGCCGACGGGATGAATGAACTAATTGAAGTGGTTAGGGAGGCGACAGGGGGTTAGACTGGGAAGGAACGAATGGTGGGATAGGGAATGCAGAGAAGCTAGAAGGAAATTGCGACAGTGGCAGAGAGGGGAGGTAGAGATAGATATATAGAGGCCAGGAGAAAATACAAAGAAGAATGCAAAAAAAAGAAGAGGGAGCTGAAGGAAAGGGAGGCTGAGAAGATTAAGGAGTTGAAAGAAGAAAATGAGGTATGGAGATACTTAAAGAGGATGACGAACGGAAGAGAGGAAATCAACAGAGATATACAAATGACTGAATGGAGAACCTACTTCGTGGGACTGTTGAGAGGGGCGGAAGAGAGAAGACTGGGAGAGGGGGAGCGGGGGGTGCAAGGAGGAGAAGAGATAATACTGTGTAGCGAACCGTGAGGTCGATTGAATTTATTGTTTGATTTTATTTTAATTTTCAATTTTGTAAAGGTTAAGATAACGTTCGGAAGGAAAGGGTTTAAAAATCTCAGACGGGAAAAAGAACAGCAGTTCGCAGGGGAGTGCAATCAAGTGCAGCCCAGTCTGGGTTCGAGTCCTAGAGAGCTGGAGTCAGTTTGCAGTTAAGTCCAGTCTGGATAAGTTCGAGTTAAGTTCGAATCGGGCTCGAGTTGGAGTTCTAGTTCCAGTTGAGTGGGGTTTTTGGAAATGGATTCTTGAAAAAGAAGTTGGAAGCAGCAGAAGCTGTTCCAGAAGGTCAAGAAGTAGAAGAGTCAAAACGAAAATTGAGAGATAACATCGCTGGTCGGAAGAAACCCGTATCACGATGAGATTTTTAAACCTGTGTGAGTAACATACTCTAAATCAATACTAACTGCTTTCGTTCTGTTGATTTGGTATGTCTTCGTATTTTTGATTTATTATGTGTTTTCGTATACCTAATTTGGTACGTTTTTGTTTGATAAGTTTTGTTCAATAATTTTTGTTTGATAAGTTTTGTTCAACCATTTTTATTTAATAAATTTAAAGTAAAGATAAAAATTTGAATTTTCTTTTATTTTGACTAAATTAATAATTGCGTGACAAATTTCCATTCGTCGCATACGCATTGCACACGCACACATTTATGTAAGAGCCGCTCCTTACAACTGCAAGATATGGAAGCAGTGTTAAGGGGACTGAAGAGAGGAAGGGCGCCAGGAGGGGATGAGATCCAGAATGGCATGGTTAGGCACAGTTAGAGGCAACGGAGACAGTGAAGAACAAGCTATGGAAGATAATAAACGCCGTATGGATAGGGGAGAGGTTTCCGAACAGCTGGAGGATGGGGATAATATGCCCACTGTATAAAAAAGGGAGTAAAAGGGTGGTGAATTATAGAGGGATCACCCTGTTAGACACAACTTTCAAAATTTATGCAGATACTGCTGGGGAGGTTGGAAGAGGAAATGGAGAGGGGGGAATTGACAATATACACATACTGAAGTACTTGGTACATAGGGAGTTGAACAAGAAGGGAAAAAAGTTGTATAGATTGTTTATTGACCTGAAGGCTGCATTCGATAACGTAGAAGTTGTGGGAGGAAATGAGGAGGAGAGGTATCACAGACTAACTGATAGAGAGTGTAAAGGAGATGTAGAGGGAGATGATGGCGAAGGTTAAAGTGGGGGAAGAGTTAAGCGAGGTATTCTTGACGACAAAGGGATTGAGACCGGGGTACCTGCGTAGTTCCACACTATTTGCAATATATACGGCGGACTTGGAAAAGAGACTTGTGAAGGGGCAAATGAGTAGGGTGGTGATAGGAGAAACAAAGGTGCACGCCTTGGCGTATGCGGACGTTTTGGTGGTCGTGGCTAGAGAGGCGGTGGAGATGAAGGAGATGATAAGGTCCATGGAAAGATATTTTAAGGCGAAGAGGTTGGAGGTAAACGTCGAGAAAACAAAGATAATAAAGTTCTGCAAAGAGGGGAGAAGAAAGATGGAGGAATGGAGGTCACAGGAAAGAGAGATAGAGCAAGTGAAAGAGTATACGTACCTGGGATATGGGTTCGCGGAAAGTAATAAGGTCGGGGCGCACGTGAGCGTGATGGGACAGGTTTGGGGATGGGGGGAAAGAACTTTTGGGAGGGACGTGGGAAAAAGAAAGGTTATGTTTGATGGCTTGGTAAGGAGCACAATGATGTACGGCGCAGAAGTATGGTGATGGAGAGAACAAGGATTGCTGGAGGATATACAAACACGGTATTGGAGATGGCTACTAGGGTTGGCAAGGGAGACTCCAGATCGGGATCAATGTGGGGATTAAAATATCGGGTTTAGCCGTGCGTCTGAAGAGTTTTACTCCAGCTCTGTCACTAAAACTAACACAAGATCCAGAACTAGAATCATTCGGGTTTAGCCGTCTTGAGAGACGTGCGGCTAAACTCTAATGTTTCTAGTTCTGGGTCTAATGTTAGTTGTAGTTTTACACTAGCACTATCACTATAACTGACACTAGACCTAGAACTAGAATCAATCGGGTTTAGCCGTCTTGAGAGATGTGCGGCTAAACCCGAATGTTTCTAGTTCTCGATTTAATGTTAATTGTAGTTTTACACTAGTACTATCACTAGAACTAACACAAGACCTAGAACTAGAATCATTCGGGTTTAGCCGTCTTAAGAGACGTGCGGCTAAACCCGAATGTTTCTAGTTCTGGGTCTAATGTTAGTTGTAGTATTACACTAGCACTATCACTAGAACTAACACTAGACCTAGAACTAGAATCAATCGGGTTTAGTCGCCTTGAGAGACGTGCGGCTAAATCCGAATGTTTCTAGTTCTAGGTCTAGTGTTAATTCTAGTTTTACACTAGCACTGTTACTAAAACTAACACAAGACCTAGAAATAGAATCATTCGGGTTTATCCGTCTTGAGAGACGTGTGGTTAAACCCGAATGTTTCTAGTTCTCGGTCTTTTGTTAGTTCTAGTTTCGCACTATCACTAGAACTAACACAAGACCTAGAACTAGAATTATTCGGGTTTAGCCGTCTTGAGAGACGTGCGGCTAAATCCGAATGTTTCTAGTTCTCGGTCTATTGTCTAATATTAGTTCTATTGACAGTGGCCGTTATATCGAGATTTAACAGTTTCTTAATTTTGATTTTTCCAACCTTACGCTCGTATTAACGTGAGCCGAATAAACGTTCCATTGATAAGCCAAAGAAGATTGTTGCCTCTTCCACATTTCAAAAGAAACGGTACTCCAAATCGAAATCAAAATTCCATAAACAACCGTCGTTTGATTATCAATCATGTGATTAAAATTTGCAACGTGACAAGAGTATTTTAATGAAGTATAATTGCAAACATCATGAACGCAAGTCGGACACAAAACCATATCGCTATTGCAAACTTCCTCGCTAAAATAAAAAATTGATTATTAAATATTAAAAGAAATAAGATAATTTACGATTTGAAATTATTCGAGGTGTACATGCTAATAATTCCAAAAAGAAACGTTGCAATTCCAAGGCAAGAGGCCGGAATTAACATTTTAGCAAAATGATTTAAATAGGCGAAGTAAAATCCAACTTCAGCGCCGTAATAATTTTGAATTAAAAACGTGGGTTGTCCAGAAAAGATGTAACTCCACGATCCCCAAAACGTTTTTAAAAGGAAAATATCGGTGACTCCTTTCGCATCGAGAGTGTGATAACTTCGCTCGTGGGTTGGATATATTGTTTGAAGCGTTCCTTGACTTAATAAACGATTTATTCCAACATCATCATCGTCAAAACCATACTTTGCAAATTTTAATATTTGATACATAATTTGAATTTTTTCTGAAACCGTTATATCCCGATTTTTTATGTTCCCCATACTTCGACTAAAAAATAAAAAGAAAAATTAATTAGAAATATTTTTTAAATAAATTTGCACTAACGAAACTTTAGCGTTTCCTAAATTTTTATGCGAACTTGTCAAAACTTTTCTCATATAACCTTCTCTTTCATCGGTCTCTTGAAAAAACGGATTCTCACAATGTAAAGGTATACCCAAACTTGGGGCATATTTTCGTAGGACTTCTTGATCACCGGTGATTTTAACAAAAACCAAACTTCGGTGAGTTAAAGATTGAACGCTATCGATTACTAAACCACTCTTTTGAAGACTCTCTAAGAAAAATTTGATTCGACTTCGTTTCAATGAGGCCATCATGTCGTGTTTTGTATACGCTAACATAAGCAACACTTCATCCGATTCGTAATCTTTTCCAGTTGGATCGCGTATTGGTAAATCGAACTGTTCATCTTCAGCGAGGGCATTTTTCTTAGAAAACAAAACCATGTTGTGTAAATTATTGAACTAAAATGAGACAAAAATAACGAAGTTTCAATATTAAAGAAATTGATGTTAGCGTAATGTCAAATTCTTTTATATACTGAAATTGTCTGATAAAAACCAATCGGATCTCTCTTTTTGTTTAAAATCATATCTTAGATATGTAAGAAAATTCACCGAAAGTTGTCATTAATACTATTTTTTTTATGACATAAAATCAACATCAAAACAACTTAAATTAAAGAAATCTGCACTAAAATTGACGCTTTTTCATGTTAATCAAATAACTATTTCAAATTATTAACTTTTATTATTTGTTATTTTGGAAATGGCAGAAAGAAAAAGCGTTTACTTTAGAGACGGTGTAAGTAGAGTTGATTTTGTCCTGGTTCAAAGCAAGATAAAATCGGAAGCTTTACGATTGCAAAATTATCGATTTATCGCCAATTTAAGAAAAATGGGATTGTTGGTTGAGCGAGAAAAAGGAGTTGTGAGTGTAACGCTTTAAGAAACGTTATGAAATTATTAATTTTGACTTTTTTTTAGAAATACGATGATTTTATTTTTATCAAATTGCATACACCGGATTATGTTTTGAAACAAATCGCGGATATTCATGGTGTTGCTTTGACTTTTGAAAAGGATCGAACGGTTCCACATTATAATAATAATTGGTGGATTTTTAAAACTCCTGTTACAAGGAAGATTAACATGCAAGATCCTTTATTTAGTAGATGCTCGTAAGTATTAAAACAACATAATCCCATCATTAACCATCTCATTTTGTTTCACCTTAATCTCCTCCATTTTAGTCATAAAGATTATACAGGTGAGTTATTAGTATCCCGGTGGTCAATAGTTACTAAACTGTTTGAAAAACAAAAAATATTGTATACAAAAGTTGTTTGACTCATCACTTTCTATTCCGTAAAATTATTTTCACTTATACAGGTTGCTCCATTTAAGCGTACGTCAATTTATTTACGTGGAACACCCTGTTTATTTTATCATATTATGAATACAACTAAATTTGTTTATAAAACCGTATATGTTACTATTTAACAGCGTTCATAGTTCTTGAGATCTTTTTGAAAACGACGTAAAAACGACATTTTTCCGATTTTGCCTTGAAAGTACGTCAGACAATAGTCAAAGCCAGCAGATGATAGTATTCAAAGATATTAGATACAATATACAGCATGTTTAAAAAGTTCAGTTACTTTTGATGTTTATCAAATGACTTTTTCTTAAGGTTTTAAATGGAACACCTTCTATGTTGTGTGCTAGTTTATTAATAAGCATTTTATTGTTTTTGATAATTACAATTTTCCCCTTAATACATCCTAATATATGTCATTAGTATATTATTTTCACCCTCTACCCTCTTCCTCCATTTCCATACCCTCGGCTCCTCGGCCCAATTCTCCCCTCATCCATCCCTTTGTCTCCTCACCCCCACAACCATTCTCATCCATCGTTTCCCCTCTCCCCCCTCTCCTAAGATCTGCCCTCGGTCCAACTCCTCCTCCCTCAACTCACTGCACCCATTCAACATATGTTCCAACGTTTCCCATTCCTCCCTGCATAGCCTACACCACCTCTCCTCATCGGCCATCCAGTATCTGTTAGCTCTCTCCTCGTTTCCACAACGGAACCTAGCCACCAACTTCTTCCCTTCCTCATCTCCTTCCAATAACAAGTATCTAGGCAGCCCCTCCGTAATTATGTCCCTGTACCTTTCGTTATACCTCCCCTCTTTTATTTGTGTCCTTCTTTCCTGTCTCTGCACATCTCGGTCCCTATCTCTCAACTCCCTCCACATCTCCCTACCCACCCTTCGTCTACTATTTATCTCAGTTACCGAGTAGCCCGCTCGTCTATAATAGTTGTCTCTGTCTCCTTTCCCATATCTGATCTTTCCCTCTCTAATTTCCCTCCAACACTCCCCCAAGATCCCGCAGTTTGGCCTCCCTTCTATTCTTTCTTCATATTTCACTGCTCTCCTGCCCCCCTCCACTCTGACTTTATCCACCTTTACCTCTTCCCTCACTATATACCCCGGTGTTTCTCTCGCCACCCCAAGCACCCATCTCCAGTATCTAGCTTGCACGTCCTCCAGCATTGCCTGCTCTCTCCATCCCCATACCTCTGCTCCATACATCATCACACTGCTAACCAGACCTTCAAACATAATCTTCCTCGCTGCCACATTCCTTCCAAAGACTCTCTTCCCCCAACCCCATACTTGTCCCATCACCTTATTCGCCTTTTTTGCCATAGCTATCACATGCGACCCCTCCCTGTTGTCCTCCCTGAACACATACCCCAAGTAAGTATACTCCCTAACCTCCTCGTTCTCTTTTCCCTCCCATCTCCAGTTTTCTGTTCTTTTTCTTCCCCCCTTACAAAACTTCATCATCCTTGTCTTCCCCACATTCACTTCCAGCCCCTTCCCCCTAAAATATCTTTCCAATGTCTTTATCATATCTTTCATCTCCGCCGCTTCTCTCGCCATGACCACGCTGTCATCCGCGTATGCTAACATATGCACCATTCTACCTCCCACCACCAACCCTCCCATTTGCCCCTTCCCCAATCTATTCTCCAGGTCCGCCATATACAGTGCAAACAGACTTGGGTTCAGCGGACATCCCTGCCTCAGTCCCTTCGTCGTCCAAAACACGTCGCTCAGCTTATCTCCCACTTTTATCCTAGCCATAGTCTCCATGTATATTTCCTTCACTCTCGTAATTAGGTGTTCCGTGATCCCCCTGTTGTGTGCTAGTTGAATTGCTCATCAAGTTCTTTTTAATTAATGATAAGTATGTCATATGTCTAACTTTAATAGTTTTCCTGATATTTAGAATTAAAAAAAAACCATGTGTAATACAATGTCATTATTGTACTTAAAAAACTGACAGAATGTAAATATATTCTGTCCTTTTTTGTCCCTTTTTTTTGTTGTCTGTCATTTGTAAATCAGTAATATTATATTAAAATACAATTAAAAAAAAAACTTTAATAAATAAATAATCAAAACGTGATAAAAATACAAGAAATACAATTAAATGGCAGAATAATAAATCATTTTTTAAATAACTAAATTATTTGAATAAACAATTACTAAACGTTGCTCAACAAGTAGGTATTAATTTAATTAATACTTAGAAGTATAAAAGATCTTGAGGTATCTCTTAACATGTAACAACTTATTTTCTCTAAAGTCGTAAATTATATGGCAGAGCAATTGCATATTTTATTACTTACATCTTTTTAAATCTCATAAAGTACCAAGTCGCATTAAAATCTGGTATATCGGAGCAAAATCATTTTACATTATAAAATATTAATCAAATAATAAAAGGAAGAACAAAAAGAAACCGATAAAATTAGACAGAATATAATATTAAGTAAAAAATATGCGTTATTAGCATATTTTATTACATATTATTCTTTAAATTTGAAATATCAGGAAAACTACTAAAGTTAGATATAAAATATAATAATAATAATAATATATCTTTATTATTCCTCCCACAAATACAAATAACATTCTACATATTTCTATTTCATAATATAAATTAAAGAAGGAACACAATGGGCGGTTGCCAGACAATGTCTGCTCATACCAACCCAGTTGGTTGTAAAAAAAAACATATAAAATGAATTATAAAATACATGCCAACGGTAAATATCCTAGCATCAGATATTATTTTTCCCCTTGCTGCTGAAACCTCAGCCACATCAAACTCTTCCTGAATGTACCTAAGCTCAGAGTTCGCATGTCATTTGGAAATTTACTATAAGATTTGTAAATGTGATAGCTGAAGATTCTTTCAAATAGAGACGTTAACTTTCTTATACAGATATTCGGGCTTACATGAGATTATAATTTTATGGAAAAGACATAAGTTATGAAGATCTCTTCTTTGTTTCATTGACAACCATTTTATACCTTTCAGCTATGAGTAATTCTAACAAATTTTCTGATACCATAAATATACCTTAGACAGCTGTTTTGCACTCTCTGTATGCGGTTAGAAGTCACCACATCAACAGCCGGGTGGTAGAGTGGCAGTTATGAGTTGAATACACAAATAACCACAAAATTAAACACACCACATTGAACGAGGGGTAGTTTAGAAATAATATTGATAGTCCATATACATCGCATATCCAACCAACATTTTTGATTATGGTAACATTGTATTCATACATCCGACGATTTCTTCCTGAAGATGAGGACTAGTTCCTCGAAACATATAAAAAGATAAATAAAGAATAACTTTACTTTTATTGATATTCAACCTTTTAAAGCTATTCCATATGAATTTAATATTTTGCTGGCTACTGACATCTCTTTTAATTTCTTATTGCTGTGATAGTATAATTACGCATTAACTTATAATAACTCTAATTGACTTGTGTATTGTCACGTTTACACTGTGCTTTAGCCTGGTCACGCAACCGCATTAATAGCTTACATTATCAGTTAACCAGGTTAACCAGCAGCAGGTTTTGTAAATCTGCATCTCTTTAATGGTGCATGAATATCAAATACATTAATGAGATTTCTCTCCAAAAAAGCAACTTTTTCATAAAAAAAATCAAATTAAATGGCACTGTGTTCAAATCATGCAAAAAGCTCTGTTTGTCAATATGCTTTAGTGTTCTGATTACCCTAACAACAGGAGACCTAACCGCATCAACTCTTACATTACAAAAGATCATATCATGATCCGAGATTTCACACTTTACCAGGATCAGTCACAATAGAGGTATCAAAAGTAATAACTAAATCAATAAGCGTCAATGAAGTTGCAGTTGTTCTAGTAGGGTTTTCAATAATTTGTTTTCCATCAAGTGAATCAATAAGGGACATAAAATATAGAACGTCGGGGCCATTTACATTAAGCAAATTTAAATTAAAATCGCCACAGCATTACACATTTTAACTTAAAAAAGTCTTGAACTTAAGATAATACTGAACGAAGTATGACATAAAATATACTCGCTCTGCAGTACTTATGTTAACGCAGAAAATACCACCAAAAACAATTTTTATATGCGGAACAAGTACGTAACTAAGTTACTCGTTCGCCATATCCTTTTTCTCGACATACTTATCATTAATTAAAGGTAACTTGATGAGCAATTCAACGAGCACACAATATACAGGGTGTTCCATTTAAAAAACTTATGAAAAAGCCATTTGGAAAACATCAAAAGTAACTAACCTTTATGAACAGCCTGTATAGTGTATCTAATATCTTTGGTTACTATCATTTATCTACTGGCTTTGATTATTATTTGACATAGTTTCAAGGCAAAACTGGAAAAAATGTTGTTTTTACATCGTTTTTAAGAAGATACAGCAATGGACACATTTTGGAAAAACCAAACGCTATGAGTTAGTAACATATACGGTTGTATAAATAAATTTAATGCTATTCATAATATGATAAAATATATAGGATGTTCCATTTAAAAAATCTACATACTCTCCGTTACGCTTAAATGGAACATTCTGTATAAGTGAAAATAATTTTACGTAATAAAAAGTGGTGAGTCAAACAACTTTTCTATAAAATATTTTTATCTTTCTCAAACGGTTTAGCAATTGTCGTCTGCTGGGATACTAATATTTCACCCTGTATAGTGAATTTCACTTAAGATGCAATATACAAAAATACATGCAAAAATATTACAGAGCATTGTGTTAAGGGTACAATTTACTACTTTTGTTGTAAAAGTTTTTCCAAAAATATATTTCCCTAGAAACAAGGGCATACCTAGTTATTTTGTCCCACATAAAATGCAATATTGCAACATAATTTACATAATTACAGTAAAACCTCGATGTAACGGATCAATACGGGGAACGCAGTGTACGTTATAGCTCAATAAAACTATACAACAATCTAAAATAACAAATAAAACTAGACTTGCACTAAAACTAACACTAGACATAGAACTAGAAACATTCCGTTTAGCCGTGCGTCTCTTAAGACAGCTAAACCTGAATATTTCTAGTTCTAGGTCTAATGTTAGTTCTAGTGACAGTAGCATAAGATATGTTGCATATTTTTATTGCACTAAAACTAGAACTAACCCTTGACTTAGAACTAGAAAATATCGTGCGTCTGAAGACGTACGGCTAAACTCGAATGTTTCTAGACCTAGGTCTAGTGTTAATTCTAGTTTTACACTAGCACTGTCACTAAAACTAACATAAGACCTAGAACTAGAATCATTCGGGTTTAGCCGTCTTGAGAGACGTGTAGCTAAACCCGAGTGTTTCTAGTTCTAGGTCTAATGTTAGTTTTAGTGACAGCGATAGGTAGTGGTAGTTAGCATAAGATATCACTATATTGCTTATTTTTATTGCACTATCACTAGAACTAACACAAGATCTAGAACTAGAATCATTCGGGTTTAGCCGTCTTGAGAGACGTGCGGCTAAACCCGAATGTTTCTAGTTCTAGGTCTAATGTTAGTTCTAGCGACAGCGATAGGTAGTGGTAGTTAGCATAAGATATTACTATATTGCATATTTTTATTGCACTATCACTAGAACTAACACAAGATCTAGAACTAGAATCATTCGGGTTTAGCCGTCTTTTGAGACGTGTGGCTAAATCCGAATGTTTCTAGTTCTAGGTCTAATGTTAGTTCTAGTGACAGCGATAGGTAGTGGTAGTTAGCATAAGATATCACTATATTGCATATTTTTATTGCACTATCACTAGAACTAACACCTAGAAATAGAATCATTCGGGTTTTTCCGTCTTGAGAGACGTGCGGCTAAATTCGAATGTTTCTATTTCTAGGTCTTGTGTTAGTTCTAGTTTTGCACTAGTACTGTCACTAAAACTAACATAAGTATTGCGAGTTATATGAAATTCCCGGTATAGGTACTTCACTCATTCACCTTAATTCTCATCTATGAAAACATTAATCTTAAAATGTAGTCCTTTGATTGCAGTATGTAGTAAGTATCTAATCTTTTAAAAAAAAGTAGCAAATTTAACTAAAAAAAACTTAAAATAGTTTCTTACACTATTTTAAATCTTAATTACAAAAATATCTTTTTAGCGAATCTGTAAGAGGCGAACAAAATAGTACATACACATCATCAGAAAGAATAATGTTAACATATTTCGTTTTGGTTCGAACTGAGTATGGATCACTTCCCGATGAATACGGTTTATTAAATTTACTTGCCCATAAAAATTTTGATGATGCTTATCCTTTACATGACGGTAAATGGCAATGGGATAATTACGGGCCCTTAAACGATCGACAAGTAATTTTTTTAATTATTTTTGGTACCGTATTATTTAAAAAATATTTTTGTTAACTAGATTTTGTGTAAATTTTGGGCAAACTGGCGTCACTTTTACAAAGACCAACCAACCCATTTGATCTACAAGTACTATGGGCCGGAAATCGCTTTTCATTACGCTTGGTTAGGTTATTATACAATAATGTTACTTCCGGTTTCAATTCTGGGTTTGATTGTGTTTGTCGTGAGTCTTTTTAGAATGTTCATTGATGATATGGAAAGAATTAGAATGTAAGTTTTTATACAAAGAATATCAATAACTATTATCACCTTTAATTTCAGTGAAGATATTTGTAATGACACTTTGGATTTATGCCCACCTTGTGTAAACGCAGCTTGTCTTCCACAAAAAATTTACAAATTTTGTAAAGAAGCCATGATAACTTATCTTACAGATAATGATTTGAGCATATTATTTGCTTTTATTATTGTTATTTGGGGTAAAACAATTTTGAGATAGATTATTATTAAAAGAAATTTAGATTTTTTATTAATATTTTAGCATCAATTTTTTTGGAGTTATGGCAAAGAATCGAATACACATTACGTTATAGATGGAATTTACTTAATGTGAAACCCGACATCGATGAACGGTTTGGAAATTTCTTTGTTTTGTTATTAAATAATAGCTAATTTTTTTTTCAGCCCGGAATTTAAAGAACGAACGAAAAACTACGTTCGAATAAATCAATATACTGGTCTTAGCGAAACTTATTACCCTATCAAGTATCAATTAAGACAATATGCGATTTCAGCTGTATTCTGTTTAATATGTGTAAGAAATTTTTAATTTTAAATGAACATAATTTCGTAATTTGGAATATAATATTATTATCTTTCAGATTGCCTTTTTTATAGCAACAGTTATGTGTATTCGAGCAACCGTTTATTTTTTTAGATACAGTGTGTATTTATCGGAATGGGAATTTGTAAGAGAATATGGTGATTTTGCTGTTAAAATGTATAGCGGCATGGCTACCGTTATTTTTATTAAACTCTATACTCCGGTAATTAACTTAATTATACTTTAAATTTAATGGTTGCAAGTTGAATCCCAAATCATTGCATGTACTTTCTCTATGCATATTTAAAACGCTATCTTTTATCAAAAGTCGTTAATTCTCCACATCAAGAACTGTACTCAAGCAAACTTATCGAAACACTTAATTCTGTATTATACAGGTGGTCCATTTAACGTGAGACAAGCGATTATCTCGAAAACGGTTCATTTTACATAAAAATGAACCAAATGAAAGTTGTTCTGTGCGAAGGGGGAAACCATATGACGATAACGTTTTTTGACCTTGACCTTATTTTCAAGGTTATATGAAGGTCACGGCTAATTTTCTAAATGGCACTCTATGTTTTTGATTGCAAAATCTGAATCTATACATAAAAGTAAAATAATGGCGAAACATCTTTTGTAGATAAAATCTAAATAATTTTGTTATTTAAATAGTTTTAAATATTGTTTGTTTATAAAAAATTGATTAAACTATACTATTAATCAACAAGTACAAAATTTATAATAAATGTTCAAATATAGAATATAGAAATATAGAAGTTGTATTACAACATGATATAAAAATTTTATGTGTAAGTGAACATTGGTTAAGAAAAGATAAACTTAATCTACTAGCATTAAATAATTACTCTCTTGCAACTTGCAACATCGTTAGTAGATCCTTCTTTGTTTAGAACGTTTTAAAATATATTTTCTTGGATAATCTAATTACGTTTAACGAAAAAAAAAAAAATATTGAAATAGTAGGAATCAAATTGACGAATTTACGAACTGTGATTTTAAATGTGTACAGATCACCATCTGGTAATTTTAACAATTTCATCTGTACATTGGAAAATGCTCTTACTGTTGTCATAAGAAACAAAAATAGATAGTATCATGTTATTTGGTGACTTTAATGTAAATTTTCGAGAAACTAAAAGATTGAGAGACTTATTGCAATCTTTTAACTTGAAACAAAAAGTTAATCAGCCGGCTCGTATAACGGCTATGTCACAAACATGTATTGGCAATTTATTTATGACGTCTAGTCATTAAAAGAAGTGGTCAGCTTCAGTATTAAACCCTCATCTGTCAGATCATCATGCTATATTAGCAGCTCTTGAGGATAATAATTCTGCTGTACTGTCAATGTATAAGCGATGCTACAATACTTCCTCTAAAATGAAGTTTGCCCAAAAAATAGAGAAAATTGATTGGAATTATTTAAGCACTATAGAGTCCGCACAAGAAGCTTTCTTCAATATCTACAGATATCATTTTAATGAATGCTTTACTTTAAAACAACAGGCGAACCCATCTAGGTCACTACCGTGGTTTAACAAAAGGCTACATTCTATGAAGGAAAAACTGGATAGACTTGATACAATTATTGCTAATGCAACAAAAGCAACTGAATCATATGATATCTATAAAAAGTATAGAATGGAATACAGGTATGAATTAATGAAAACTAAACAAAAGTATAATGCAAACTACATTATGAATGCGAGAAATAAGTCTAAAGCGGCCCGGCAGGTAATCAAGGGAAACATAAACTTATGTTCAAAACAAAAAATGAAATCTGATGTAAACGCTGAAGAATTGAGCATCTTTTTCACGCGTATACCGTTGGAAATTGCATCATCATTGATGAGTGATGGTCCAAATAGCCCCAGTGATTACATGAACTGTGTAAAATCGAATGTTAACTCGTTTGTACTGTTTTCTACGAATGAATTAGAGATATTTAATACTATAATGCAACTCAATAATAGTCACTCAGAAGATTATTATGGTATGTCAACAAGCATTTTAAAATTTATTGCTTACATCATTGTTGAACCATTAAATATTATTGTTAACAAATGTTTTTAACAGTTCATTTTCCCTAATGAGCTGAAAATTGCGAGAATATCTCCCATATACAAGAAAGGTGATGTAAATGATCCTAACAATTTTCGGCCAATAGCTATCTTACCAATAATGTCAAAACTTTTTGAGCATCTGTTGGAATCGCGTCTTCTTGACTATTTGATTATGAACAAGTCATTGATGGTTTTAATGAGTCAAAAAAAATTTTGGCAATAATGTTCTGCCTTACAAAGGCATTTGATTGTGTCAATCATAAGATACTGTTACAGAAACTGGAATATTATGGCATCAGACAACCCACGATAACAGTGTTTCAATCGTACTTAGAAAATCGAAGACAGGTGGCCAAGTTGGTAATTATAGATCGAATATAAGAACGGTGGAAATCGGTGTACCGCAGGGATCCTTCTTTGGTCCAATTTTATTCCTTTTATATGTGAACACTCTTCCGGAAACTCTGAACATGTGTAAGACAATAATGTATGCATATGACACAACATTGATAAATATAGTTGAAAAGCTGCACGAAAATGAGGGTCTCAGTCAGAAGGGTGCATCAGATTGGTTTAAAACGAACAAACTTAAGCTGAATGAAAATAAGAAAAAAAAAATTGATTTTAGTACTAAAACAAATAATAACATCTCGGCAGTTAAGTTACTGGGGCTGCAGTTTGAAAACTCTTTGAAATGGAATCTACAAATGGATGTAATAGGAAAAAAACTTAGCTCAGTAGTTTACCAACTTAGAACACTTATAAGCCTAACAGATTTGCAAACAGTGATAGTGGTGAATTACTCGAATTTCCAGAGTGTGATGTCATATAGCATTCTGTTTCGGGGAAGTTTCCGGAGCCGAGCGTATACTTTTAATTCAGAAAAAAGCAGTAAGAACGCTATTCAAAGCTAATCAACTAAAAAGTTGTAGGCCACTTTTTATAAAATCAAAAATAACATCCGTTTACTTGTAGTACATTTATAAATGATTGATGTTCGTAAAAGAAAATCTAAATGATATATTATGCCGAGAGGAGTTACAAACTACAGTACGAGAAATCAAAAATTGTTACAAATCCCTTACCATAGGCTTTCGACATGCCAACAATCTGTTTACTACCAAGGAATAGGATTTTATAATAAATTGCGGGACGACATAAAATCCCTTTCACGAGAACAATTTAAATATGTCCTAAAATTACATTTTAGCAGCAACCATACATGAATTCACGTACATTTCGTAATTGTCATTTATTAAAATTGTAAACATACTCTTGACGACCTGTAACTTTATGTTTTTTTGGGAATAAATTATTATTATTATTCCCGATAAACATTATCCTTAAGGACGTTCCACAAAAAAAATCAAGAGGTGTTAAATCAGGTGATCTGGCAAGCCAGGAAATTGGAGCTCCCCTTCTAATCCATCGCCCATCATAATCACGATCTAAAGCTTCACGTGCAATATGTGAAAAATGTGCTGGACACCCATCATTTTGCAGTCACATATTTTGCGAGTTCTTTTTCTTGATTCCACATTTCCAGTGTTAGTGAAATCATTCATAACTCTGTAAAAGGTACTTCTCGAAGGCGTATTTCGATCAGGAAGACGTTCTCGATACAAAGCTATATTATCAGCAACTTTTCTGCCACTTTCTCCATAAATAAAAATGATTTCGACTTTTTCTGCCACACTTAGAGTATCCATGATTTAATGACTTAGTTTAAACACTTTGCCTTAATGTAAAACGATGGAATGAATTCAGAGTTTGTTGCCAAGCAGTTTTTATGCAAATTTAGTTTTACCTGTTACATTTTAAAACAATTCAACCAATTAAGTCTCTGAAAGCGAAATTCTGTTATTCTATTATTCTATTATCAAATTGACAAAGGCGGAGAAATGTCGAAAAATCTTTTAGACCTCTTTCCAAAGGTATTTCCGACGAGCCAGATCACCCGATGTATCTCTTCTGGATTTTTTTTTATTGAGCATTATTAAATAGTATTCTAAGAATTAAGAACTAAAGACAATGTATCGAAGCGGGTAGGAAAATGTTTAAAAATGCATAAATCTTATATGTTCTTGCTAGATTATAAACGTTAGTTAATTGTTTTTGAAGAAGTTTCAATTTTTTTCAAAAGATGTTTTGCCGTTGTACTGGCAAAATCACACAGTAACATTTTTTTATTGAATTACTTTACTTTTATTCACAAATTAAGATTTTACAATAAAATATATAAGATGCCATTTAAAAAATTGGTGACCTTCATATAACCTTGAAAATAAGGTCAAGGTCAAAAATGTTATCGTCATAATATATGGTTT